GAGTACTGCTACAACAACTACACACAGGTTAGTACTACTACAGAGTACTGCTACAACAACTACACACAGGTTAGTACTGCTACAGAGTACTGCTACAACAACTACAAACAGGTTAGTACTACTACAGGACACTAAATACACACAGGTTACCACTACTAATATACAGTACAAAATACAGCTACAGCAACTAAACACAGGCTAGTACTACTACAGAATACTGCTACAGCAACTACACACAGGCTAGTACTACTAATACACAGAATACTGCTACAGCAACTACACACAGGTTAGTACTACTACAGAATACTACTACTAATACACACAGGTTAGTACTCCTACAGGACACTAAATACACACAGGTTAGTACTACTAATATACAAAATACTGCTACAGCAACTAAACACAGGTTAGTACTACCATTAGATACAGATTAGTATTACTAATGCATACAAATTAGTACTACTAAAACACAGCTTTGTAACATTGTTCTAAATTTCATTATGTTTACAGTGTTTGCTACAAACTAGGCTAACATTTTTTGATTTTTCCTTTTTATGCTAAGCTAGGCTAACATTTGTCCTGTGTCTCACACAGTCAGGTGAGAACAACCTGAAGGCTTTGGAGGAAACTAAAAACTTCACCACCCAGTCACTGGCCAGTGTGGCCTATCAGATCAGCACTCTGGCCAGCAGCGTCCTGAATCTGCTGGATGCTCAGACCAATCAGCTGCGCCAAATGGAGTCCTCTATCAATCTGATTGGTCAGGTGAGCTCCGCCCCCTCCATTCAGCTCAAATTGATCTTTTCAAAATAAAAGCTGCTGGCATCAGACAGATCACTAAATATCAGATACTTCTGGGATTAATTGGACGCAATCTGGATTATAGTATAGATTTTACAGGTTTATCACCTGAATATAAACCAGTTTGTAAAACTGAACTAAACTAATGATTGTTTAAAATAAAGCATTTTTACAATGTGATGGTTCTTCAAAAAAATCTTAATGTTTGTGTTTGAAAAATGAATGTTTCTGGCTCAGTTTTGTAGAGTTAAGAGTTCAGTCTTCTGTTTTTGTAGAGCTGGAGGTTAGAGTTTAGGTTGTGAGAGCTGAATGTGACTCAGAGACCTCACAGTGACTGAAGTTCCACCATAATGACAGAGAGGCTTGAACGAGGCGATGAATGGAGCCTCTGTTTCCTGCTTCTTGTTGTGTCCTGSTCTACTCGAAGGGATTTTAGGAGCTGTGCTGGACTTGCTGTGGTCCAGACCATGGTTCTGGTGAAGAATGAGACAAAGTGTRACTGGAAGGAGAGCACCTGTCAGGCAGAAGTTCAGTGGACGACAGCAGCTTTCTGATGACTTTTCTAAGGAGGTTCATACAGATCATCTGTAATCTGAAATTAGGAACTACATGATGCTTGTGTAACGTTTGAGGAGCTGAAAGGATTAAAACTTCTCAGTCAGTACAGTGATAATCTCTGACCTCAGATCTCTGCAGTGTTTATCATCAGAGCCTCTGACCTCTGACCTTTGACCTTCAGTTGTGTGTTTGCTCCTCAGACGGTGGAGATGCATAAAGAGAAAGTTTCTCGGAGGGAGATTGGGGTCTTCACGGCGGTCAGAAGAGTTCCTCGTAACCATAAGATCATTCCTCCTTCTGGAACACAGACCCGCCCACCGTACAGCCGCCGGCCAATCAGCTATCAGCAGCTGGACGAGCTGGGCCATGGTGTAAAGGTAAGACACACCTGTGTGTTGTTGTGTTTTCAACAGAGACATGTTTCAGAAAATGTGACTGGTATTATGATGGTCACTAATAGATAATTATTAATTGATAGTTGTTGGTCAGTGTTTGTTGGTTGATAGTTGTTGGTCAGTGTTTGTTGGTTGATAGTTGTTGGTCAGTGTTTGTTGGTTGATAGTTGTTGGTCAGTGTTTGTTGGTTGATAGTTGTTGGTCAGTGTTTGTTGGTTGATAGTTGTTGGTCAGTGTTTGTTGGTTGATAGTTGTTGGTCAGTGTTTGTTGGTTGATAGTTGTTGGTCAGTGTTTGTTGGTTGATAGTTGTTGGTCAGTGTTTGTTGGTTGATAGTTGTTGGTCAGTGTTTGTTGGTTGATAG